GAAGGAGGCAGGACCCAGGACTGAACATGCTCTAACAGCCTGGGGAAAGGTGGTGGTTAGGTCACAGTACACTGGGTCCTGAAAAACTGATGGGAACCTGGAGAACACATCAGGGAGAAGAGGCATGTGCTGGCTGGTCTGTGAAGCTTTTGTACTCTTTCAATAAAGAGAGATAAATCACCCTGTTCTGTCTTCCATCTCCTTGGAAGGGAAGGCAACACCCAGCCCAGGCACCTAGAGCTGGAGGAGAGAGGTTGCTCCTGGGGAAAGCAGCTCTCAGCTCTGCTGCTCATGGGGAAAGCTCAAGGCATTGCCCCACACACCCCCAGGTACCCCAACCCCACAGCTGCACAGGGCCCTCAGTGACATGCAGGCCCAGTGCCTACAGCCTGCAGATCAGCACCAAGAGCTCTCTGAAGCAGGGACTGCTCCAAACAAGAGCAGAAATGGATGTACTCAAGCCAGACATACTCACACCAGTTTGAAAAAGCCATTTATTATAACAAGGTAAGAGAAGGGGGGAGTGGCACAGCACACTCAGTGCCAAGATCAAAAGCCTCACCCACGAGTCACTCAAGCCTGGCCATAACGGTCTCTTGTCTCATGAAGAGCCTTCTCCCATCCCCAAAGGCTTTGTACAACTTGCAGGCACTGAGTCCTGGTCCAGGACTATCAGCCTGTGAGCAACCATGGACCCTTCAAAAGTGATAGTGTCAAGTCTGCAATTGCAGGCAAAGCTGAGAACAAGGACTCTGTGGTCACTGCACATCCATCTTTTCCTGCTTGAGTGATGCAACAAAAGCTTTGTACTCTTCAGGATAAAAGTTCTTGTACACATTGATCTTCCTCTTGATCTGCTTGGGAGTATCCTGGTAGTAGTTCTTCTCATCTCGAGCCATTTCCTGTGACATAGAAAAGGAGGATAACTTAGAGGAGCGACCACATGACCAAACACCCAAGTCCGCCCAGCCACCAGAACCACTCTCAACAGGCAGGTCCACTCAGGCTGGCTGCAATGTGGCACCTGAGTCAGACAAGGATCTGGCCACGATTCAAAGTGCTGCCTTCCCTTAACATCAGCCAGGCTGGAAAACCGGTTCCAGGACAAAGACCCTTTAGTGTTTCCCTCTCTGCACAAGCCAGCTGGGAGGACCTCCAGGTCCTCCTTGCTCTGGGGCAGCCAGCACCTACCTTGTAGTTCTCCCCGTGATTCTGTATCATGTATCGCACATAGTCAATGAGGTCTCGTGAGAGCGTGTTTGACTTCTTCTCAGGGAGACTGGCCTCATATTCCATCTCTAGCAGAAGACAAAGACACCGTGAGGCTGGCAGGCATGAATGAGGCCCAGCAGCACCTCAAAGGATGCCGGCTGCCTCCAAAGATTGACCCTGATGGCACTTGAGAAAGAGAAGCTGGTTCCTGCAGTGCAGCTCTGCTGCCTGCACACACCGGACTGTTCAACAGCCTGACAGCACAAGAGAAGGAATGGAAGAACAGCCCCTTGCTGGTGTTGCAGGTGCCTAGGGCTGTGCTGCTGCTCCTGCCCAGCTCAAACTCTGAGAAAGGAAGAAGCCTTTTTATGGCTCTGTGTGTGACTGTTCCGAGCCATGCAGTCACCATTAAAACAATCAAGGTGCTACTGACACAGCATCATGTTGCACAAGTGATAAGAAAGACTCAGAGTGACAAGAGCCCTCTAAGGCTACAGACAAAGCCTTAAGAAAAAGGCAAAACAGGAGAGGAAAGAGAATCGTGAGCGAGACGGCAGAGTATAAAGACAGAACTACTGTGCCAGCTCCTGGCTCAGCTCCAGCCTTGGCTGGGAACTCCCTAAGCCAGGTGGCTACTGTTTCACCAGCCCACGAGTCTTAAAACGTCTAAAGCAAGGAGAGAGCAAGCAAGAACTAACAGCCTTCCTTGCACAGAACAGTTAAGGACAGTCCTGTAGCACAAAAATGAGAAAGAAAATGACCTACAGGGCCTTGGGAACAGAGTTCCAGGTGCCACGACAACAGTGAGATGCAGCAGCAAACCTGCCATGACTGCGCATGTGAAGGGTGATAAAAGCAGCACTAACCATTCAACACATAGGGCTTTATCACGGTTTTCTTCCCTTTCTCTTGTCCATCACTTTCAACATCCGCCTCTGCTGCCTGCATTGAATGAGAGACAAGACAATTCAAGGAAAGTCCATATGGAGGAGGGCTGGCATCTGTGCCCTCCTCCAGAAACTCTACTGCTTCCATAATGGCCCTGCAACTTGGGAATCTGAGCAGTTGGAACAGAGATTTGTTTTGCTTTATTTAACTAGTCTACGGGGAAAGCTGCATGGTACAAGAGAGTACTGCCCACCACGAGCAGCCCCTCTCTGTGCCATGCAACGGAGTGTGCGGACAGGGACAAATGTCCATGGCAAACAGGTCCCTTCTGGTCTTCCTCACATTTCACAAGGCCATTTCTAGGCAGCAGCCTCCTCCACAGACTGGGGCAGGCCGCACTCACAGCTTTACACGGGCTCGTTTACCTTGTTAGCTAAAGAGAGGGGGCTGCAGCGCTCCCAGCACTAGCCCTCTCATCAGACCCCAGGAGACTGCGCTTATCTGATTTTAAAGCCATCCTTTTTCTGGAATGTATTTGTCCATCTCTGCAGCCAGAGCTCGGCAGAGCAGCCCCTCGGGATCCCGGAGCCGCCTCCCCCACAGGGGGTCCCCCCTCCCGCTCCCGGGGCCCCACTCACCAGCAGCGCCTTCCTGGCGATGGGGACGGCCTTGTTGGGGTCCTCGGCCAGGCCCATGTCGGCCAGGTTCTGCGCCACCGACTTGGCGGGGTCCCAGGCATGGCGCACGTGCGCGCTGCGGACACAGCGCTCAGCGCGGCCCGGCCGCCCCGCGCGCGGGGAGAACCCGCCGCCTCCCCGCTGCCGCGTGGGCTCCGGCCA